TGTGTGTGTGTGCGCGCGCGCGTATATATTTTTTACTTAACATGTCTCCCCCGCTTAATATCAGTCGTACGACGCAGTGAGCTATTATCAGCTACGAGTCTCGAAAGACAAAAAAGTGACTTTCCGTGAATTTTTTTTTTTTTCAATCTATAGAGAGTTTGATGTCGTTTGCTTCATTTAAGATAAGAATAAACAACTGTAATCGACTATAGATATATATTTAAAAAAATTTATTTTGGAGGTGTCTGTGGTTTGTTGTGAGCATGGGGGACGAGGTAAAGGAATTTGGACCTTGCTAGTGTGTAGCTGTGAGATTATTTTTAGAACCATTTCCTCATGGCCATCTTTGCTTCAACCAAAGATTCTCCTCTAGTGGAGTATCTTTGCTTCAACGTTCTTCATTCGCAACTATTTGTAGATTTTGACCCCTTTTCGGGCACGACTGGTCAAAATTGTAAACAACTCTGATAGGTAAAACGGAGTAACAATAGTAACTTCTAGCTCACTTCAAGCCTGTTTACGTAAACAGCTGACTGTGTGAGCGAGCCCTACTAGCAGTTATTGTATGTTGATCATTCAGTTTTACACTTTGATTGACTTTAAAAATTCAATTTTATTGTGTTTTAGTGCTTTTAAAAGATTAATTCACCTTCCTTTAGAGCTCTCAAAAGGGACTCCTTACCAAGAGGCCACCGAGGCGGTCTATGTGCGTGTGTGTGGTGTGTTTGTATGTGTGTGTTTGTGTGTGTGTGTGTGTGTGTGTGTGTGTGTGTGTGTGTGCTCTCGTGTGTTTATGGTGCTATAGCAAACGTATAATTAGGTAGCGTAAACACGGCACGTAGGCCGACTGGCGGCCTTCCAAGGGTGTGGTTTCGGTAAAATAGGCTAATTCAGATCTCTGTTTCTTTGTTCTTTTGCAAAAAGATAAAACACCAAATGCTTTGAAAAATCCAGACTTTCTTCATTACAATAGTGGAAGTTGTTTGTATTTCCGATTATTTGGAGCTAGAGAACTGCCGTGGAAAGGGAAGCCCCTCGCGATCGGAATGCGAGGTCGGTCGGCCCGTTCAAAATTGACTCCCTGTATTCGAATGCTTTGCAGAAAGATTGATGATTAAATACCGCCCTTTCGTTGGCGGCCAACTATACAGCTTTGAGCGTGGTTTCCCGTGATTGCTATTTGTTTTTGATTGATTGGGTAGATGTTTTACGGCACTATCGAAACAATTTTGGTCATTTAAGCGCCATCAGGTTTCACCGCTACAAAATCAGACGTGTTTTTAATAAAGAGTCTTTCCGAGCTCGCAACCGCAAACGATCACATTATTTCTATCATGCTAAAAGGACGAACAAACATAAAAAAAATTTTTTTGTAAATATGGAAAAGGCTTATTTACATTTGTATATACAATACACATTTCAGTGTATGTATATATACACCGTATGTATATATACACCGACAACGACAACTATATATTTTCACATTTTATTAAACAGTCCAATTTCTTTTATAAAACTTAAAATTCTTCTAGGTTCTATGATGTTAAAAAGGGTCTTAATATCTTTACATTTAAAGTATTTATCACGGACATAATTAAAGTCGACACGATTGCTATTTGTGGCCTTTGGCGTTTGGATAGAAAACTTTGGGAAAAAAAGCGTCTAAGTTGTCAAAGATCATTGTTAACACGAAATGTGTAAAATACCAGCTAAAAAAGATCAAAAGAAAGAACAGTTCTTTTTCTATTAGAATAAAGTCATCGGCTTGGAATCATTTTGCATTAATCCTTCCGCAAAGCTCCGGGGAGCACTCAGTATACCACAGTTAAGTAGAGAGCCGTTTCGCTCGCCGGGGGGACCGATGCGGCGCCGGCCGAGACATCGCTCGGGCTTTTTATTGAAATAAAGACAGATCATCGTGTTTGAGGCAAATAAAATACTGATTTGCAATGATCTCACAGTCTTGAAAAAATTAGGCTTCAATTCATATTTATAATGATTGTACTCTGTTAATGTAGAGATGGTCGGTGCACTTGGTACTCTTTTATTTTTCCGTCAATCATGGGGTTGCAGACAGTTAGCGACTTCAGCAATAATAATAATATGTTAAATAGAAACAGCAGCCATTCTCTTAAACATTGACTGAGAGGTAAAAGTACTGGTACCAAAATTCTCAGGAGACATAGGCCTTTCATATGAAACAGATGAATTTGACAGACAGCTACTTTGAAAATATAGTATTTGGTACCTAGTATAATGTTAATATTTTTTTGCATTTGACGTGAAGTCCATTCTCGTGAAAATTGTGCTTTGTCCATAAGTTCTTTCTCTGTAAATGAATTGTTATTTACTTATATATGTTACCTTGTAGTGGCATTGCCAAGATAACTGCTAAATTTCAAGTCTCTATCTAAATTCTAAGACCCCCATAGCTATGAAAATATTTATGTTGCTCAACTTCGGAGGCCATTTTCTCCTTTTCGTGTTTCCTCACCTCGCAAAATTAAAAGTTCTGTATTTTCGTCAAATAAGGTCATATTTACTTCATTCTTGTTTTAAATTGTAAGGAAAAGGTGATAGTTAAAAAAAAAAATATGAACCCAGTTTTGAAATTCCCTTCATATGACTGATATTGACCGGTAGGGACAATACTAGCTTGGCCCTCTTTCGATGAAATGAATGATTGGTGCATTTCTTCAACCGAAAGTCATTGGCGTTTATATTTACGCTCTACTGGAATGGGGCAATAAATCTTGAAATATGCAAAAAATTAGAAGGTCTAGATCTATAGATGAGTACGTGAGCCATACGCGTCGGTATATATCAGCGGCCATAAGGCGTTTCTCAAAATTAAATGAGACCAAGTTAAACAACTTTTCAGTCAAGACTTAGTGAAACTTTCCAACAGTAACTTCCCTTGGTTTTACTTCCTTTTTCTTGTTTTGTCGGCGGGAATCGGAAGGTCAAACATCATGCACTCTGGCGATATTAATTTTATATAATCATTTTTGGTCAACAAGAGAACAAAATCTTACAGCCTGTAACATAAAACCATAGAGTTACTCCATTTTAAACTAGAGTCCGTACGAGTTCACGTGACACGGAAACGTTTGAGTTTGTTGGCGGCCAATTTTTGTGGGGCTAAAAAGTTTGTTTACATGTGAGTGGGCGTGTCTCTGCTCTTACGAGTTTTATTTGATTCTAACGTTGTGTATTAATCCAAAGTTATTCTCTTAAAGGTACAAGCATTTAAAACCTCTAATCCCTTTCTGGATTAACGTCTTATTTGTTCCAATCAAGTATACGTTGTATACACAGCCGCTTGGAGCTGTGATTAGAAAGCAAAGTTGTTTGAAGTTCCCGTCCATATTGCAGGAACTAGTGGAGATTGTTTCAGAGCTCTGTAACGATTGTGTTCAATTACATTAGAGAAACGGATAGACATGATACCTGTGCCAGGAGCACTTGATTTTTAAAACTTTACTGTCATAACCAGAAGTTATAACCCTGTTGAAAGGGGGTGTGATGTTGCAAGACATAATCAATCAATATACATTTATACTTGTGTGTCAAGGGAGACAATAGATAAATAAACAAACACGATCGCTGCTATGACAATAGAACCACCGCTGTCCTGTATGCTGAGTTTTACTTTTTGTTGTAGAGATCTAGAACAGAGTTAAACAATATGTGAAGGGTGCTGACTAAATGAGTTACTTCTCGGATTCGAGCCCTATGGAAATCGTTACATCACGCTTATAGGTGAAGTTTTTACAATTTATAACTAGGAAATAATATAAGGCATGTTTTACTTAAAGAATATGACATATATAGAAAATCTGCAAATTTGGCCCTGGTGTTGATTTTGGGCTAATATCTCCATTTGTGGATTATGAGAAGTAACTTATTTTGTCAGCACGCCTCACATATAGCCTCTTTTACCAGACATGTCATGAGAGTCGGAATTCTAAGTAAGGTACCGCTATTTTTTCCAAATGGAGAGTAAAAGTGATTCGTTTCAATGAAACAGTCCATCTTTTACAACAACTGTTAATTTTGTTACTTCGCGCCATTTTAACACCTGTCTTACTACTACAGTCGAGTAGACACGGCATCGATGTGTCGTAAAAACACATAATAAAAAAAAAATTAGAGCAGTGCAACAAAGCAAGTTCTCACAAATTTATCTCGCGAGAGTCTGTTTACACGAGTGGAAATATCATTGTTAGACAAATAATTATAATGAAAAAATGAGCTCAAATCGACGAGTGTCTGCCATTATGACTATTGGTCGATTTATCTACTGACAAAAAAAAATTAACTCGTCCATCAATCTGCAGGTTTCTAAAGGTCAACTCATGATAGTTGCATAAAAAAAAAAGGCACAGCCAGACGAAACAAAACGTTGTATTTTGAATCACTAAGATGACTGTGAAATTTTAAAGCTTTACCATTCTGTGCTGAATGTTTACTAAAATAATTAAAATAATGGGGTGATTATATAAAGATTGTAAAGCTATGGGAGTTTGCTTTCAGCGGGAACTAGGAGTATACAAATGCTGTCTTTTATTATACTGATTTTCTGTGTAGCTGAACAAATCCAATTACACAAAAAAGGATACATAGCCTGTCTTTTAAGAAATAATTATATAACATAAACTTCATTATAACATTTAATACATCTTGTTATGCAACGTTATTGGTATAATCGACATCTTAATCAAAATTAGCTGCTATAATGTTTGAGCGTTTTGCAGGAGCACAAAGAGAGAACGATGCTACATGATGGTTCTTTGTCTTTGATTAAGTCTTGATTTCCTGATCCTGTGTGCTGAGCGTATAAATCAAAGTCTCTCCCTGAAATAGGAGAGTAGCTTGGCACAAAAGTAACCATCGTCGAGTCTCTCCTACCCAGAATGTCGTTCTCAAACCTGTGGGTAAACAATTCGACAGACTCTCGCGACGACAGCGTGCCTATAACGGCGTCGCCTTCTCCTTTACATTATGACATCGTGAGCGACGAGCAGTGGTACATTGTCCAAGTGGTCAACGGGGTGGTCCTTTGTGGTCTCGTCAGTCTGTTCGGCGTGGTCTCCAACATCATCAACATCGTGGTGTTTGCCAAGCAAGGCTTTCAAGACAGCATGAACATTAGCCTCATGGGTGAGATGAAAATAATCAAATCTACTGTTACTTACAACTATAGTGTAGTAAAAAATTCGTGACGCAATTTGTCAAATATTTCCTAAATTATCGAACATAGAGTCTGTGGATTTTGCGCAATGACCGGTATCAATTTATCTTAACAGATCAATAATTTCGTATGCACCTGTTAGCTGTATTCTAGAAAATTCTTATATAGATAATACTAATAAAAATCCAAGTAGATAGTTTCTACATGTTTTAAAAGGTTTGCAGCTGGGGAAATATAGTTCTTACAAACAAGTCCATCATTTTTTCTTCTAATTGTGACATTATGCTTATTAAACACGCGTTTTGAGAACTTTTAGAGCAGAAATGTGTTCACTATAAAATTAATTTATTGTAACAAATGTTGCCACAAAAAAGTGTCTTTGGTGAGCTGTGACGTAAGCTATAATTATGCGTGTACAAAATGTGTGTGAGAAGTGGGAAGTGCTGTGAACCATCCCATTTACCGCGTGACGGAGATTTATAGTATTTTATATAAATTCATGAAGAAAAGTTTTTAAAAAAAAGTGTAGCATCAATCATTGAGGAAAAATATGCTTAAGTTAGGACACAGTGATACGTAAAAACAGAACAAACAAACAAACATAAAAAACAACAACAAAAATCGTTGTAGTCTAGGCACTCTCCTTTGTTCAACTTCTGACAACAACGTTTTCCCTGTCTTTACGGAGGATATTGCAATTTTTGTTTTGATATGCTTTGTGGCAAAATAGGTGTTCTGTTGAAAAAGTCAACAATAGTAATGTAATTGTATGTAATTGTAGATACCATGCGCCTTCGTCCACGCAGTTAAGATAATTTAGGAGGCAGACTGCTTTGACCCTGCCTGTCGAGGTCAACCTGGGCTGATACGGATACAACGTCCAAGCAAGAAGACAAAGGTTCTTGTTTGTTTTGTAAGAGTTTTACGATGCTGACAACTGCGTAAATTCATACGAGCGTGTGAAACGCTAATTGGTTGCATTCACAACAGTTCAGAGCACGGCTTGCTTTTTTGTCAATATTTCGATTGAAACGTTAAAAATCTGACGAAAAATCTTCGTTTTAAAATAACGTATCATAGTATTATAGAAACGGTATTTACAGTTTATTGTTAAGACCAGTGTCCTTTATAAAATCAAGAATTCTGTCAGGAACAAAGACGGAGAATAGATCTAATTTTTTGCATTTAAAATAATTCCTTCGGGTCTCTCCAAAGTCTGGATATTCTGTTAAAATGTGTCTAATAGTGAAATCTGTGTCGCATCCGACACAGAACGGTTTCTCATCTCCCTGAAGGAGGTATTTATGTGTCATGGAGGTGTGCCCATATTCGTGGACAAATTTTGAGAAGGATGTTGTGAAGTTTACTGTTTATTTTAGTTCTCCAATGAGAAACGCTACAAAGACTACGAACATACTTAGAACCCATCCAGGACCCTCTAAAATTCGCAAATCGTCATCGAAGAAGTGTGGAAGACGCCATTTTACTATTTCTTGACAACATATAGACTCTTAGACAAGACAGGAGTATACTGTAGGATCCTGTTTGTTGATTTTTGGTCAGCTTTTAATACTATCCACCCAGCTATCCTTTTAAAGAAATTAGAAAACATAGGTGTTATCATCAATTTAAAATCAAGGATAGGCAATTTTCTTACCAACAGAATCCAGTATGTAAAATTAAAACATTCGTCATCGACATACTTCACAACAAATACAAGGGCCCCTCAAGGACGTGTGTTGTCACCAGTTTTATTCCCACTATACACGAACGACTGCCAAATAAGCAACAGTAACATCAAGTTGAAATAATTTGTCGATGATTCAATCTTAATAATTGGGCTCATTCAGGCTGACCATAACGAAACCGCTAACCGGAATTTTGTACATAACTTTTCTGAAGGGTGTGAAAGTAAGGTGCTTTTAAATGTAAAAAAGACTAAAGAACTTTTTGATTAAAAATAAAAAAGCTGCTCCTGTAGACACAAGAAATTAAATGTGAAAACATCGAGCAAGTGTCAGACTAATACAGACTTCATCAAAAGTTAAGGACCACCTTGACAGACAGTCCTAATTTAAAAAAAATAAATCTGAACAATAGAAAGCAAGGAATGTTTCAACATTTTAGTCTGAAAGTGTTAATGGGTTACCAATGCGCACTGCAAAGCTTCCTAAAGGACCAAAACCACCACGTGTAGCACGGAAATCCTCGGGCAATTATAGCTAAATTTGCTGTTTTTTATCGACTTGTGTGCGACAGCACGGACATTTCTCAGTTAAAATTTCTGGTTCTTGTATTTATAAGACGTACGGCCTCGAACTTTGCTCAGTTTAGTGGCAATATAAGCCGCCGTTTCCGCAAAATCCAGTATCGCATCAACATACCTCCAAGATGATAGCTGAGAGACTTTGATCATGCCAGATCTATTGCATGGCTGCAGGATGGAGTTGGAGCCCGAGAAGTTGCCAGAAGGCTTGCAGTGTCACACTGTCATTGTCCACCTGAGACTGTACCATCACGCCACTGGATCCGTCCAAGAACGCAAAAGTGCAGGTCGACCAAAGAAAACCACACAGAGTGTTTCCAAATGGCCCTTAACTTTTGTTGAAGTCTGTATAAGTATTAGTGTGTTACAACAGACAACAAACTCAACTGGCGCGTCCACACTTCTCTCTTGCATAAAAAAGTGAACTATAGACTATTTTGTCTAAGAAAGCTCATGTGTTTTAAAGTTGATAAAACATTGATGTCCATATTCTATCATTCATTCAACCATGGAAAGTATGACCAATTTTTGATGAACAGCATGGGCCATGAGCACAAGGCAACAAGATAAAGAACAATTAAATCAATTAATACGGAAAGCATGTAAAATTTCAGCATCTACATTCCCTACTTGGATGAGTTTTTACATATCAGCTTGCGCTAAAAAAAAATAATTCAATCTTTTTAGACAACAAACATCCCTTGTTTCCTCAAATAAAAATATCAGTCGGAAGTAAAAGACCTAGGCTTCTGGTCTGTACCAAACAAAGATAGAGAAGGTCATTTTTACCGTCATCCAACAAAATTCTTCCATTTTAAACATCATGTATAAGTATTCATACGATCTTACAGCAGGCATCAGAATAACATTGGTGTGTATCTGGCTTAAGATTATTATTATTTATATTGCTGCTCATTTATATTATGCATGTGATTGTAAACCTGCGTGTGTGTGCATTTTATTGTGTGTGTGTGTGTGTGTGTGTGTATGTGTGTGTATGTGTGTGTATGTGTTATGTGTGTGTGTGTGTGTGTGTGTGTGTGTGTGTGTGTGTGTGTGTGTGTGTATGCACGCGCGCACATGGTGCAACACCAAACCAAAGTGCCAGGATCTGGACATTAAAGATGTATCTTTTCTTATTTCATCTTATGAGTCTCCCACAGGAATTATTAGGAATTAGTAGGGACCAGACCGCTCCGGTAATAATTGATTGAGTATACAACAAATACCTGCATAGGGAGATTAAAAAAGGAGTGTGTTATGTCCCCACACTTCTTTAACCTATATAGTGAAACTATCCTCAGAAATATAAAATGCCCAGGTCTCAAAGTGAATGGCGAAATTAAACAAAATAAAAAAGGCAAATTCAGAAGAAAGACCTTCAATCGCTTCTAGATATTGTTGTAACGGAAAGTGAAAGTGTAGGGCTATTGTTAAATGTAATATATAATATATGATACCAAACATTTCACTGAAACAAAACAAAGAATTACCATTATAAAGATACTTTCAAATTAAATGAGCCCAACATCTCAATGACTTCATAATAAATGTTATGAAATACTTTGTATGGTCAACCCTTCTCTACGGCTGTGACTGCTGGACAATCGCGAAGACAGTGGAAGAAATAAAAGCAACAATAGACATGTTTTTTTTAGGAGACCGCTGAGAACTTGGAGTAGGGAGATATCAAATAAGGCAGTACTTGAAGAAGCCTATGTGGGCTTCTCGCTGGTTAAAACAATCAGGAAAAGGCAAATGTAGTTTTTAGGACGCTTGGATGGATAAAAGTCTAAAGTCCTTGAACATTTATATCTCACTTGCAAAATTGAAAGCAAGCGATGCAGGGGTAGACCCAGAGCAACCTACTTGGAGAGCCTAAACAGATGGGTGACTTGGAAAGATCAGGATAAGGTAACTTTTTGTAAAACACCCGAGCAAGGGAATGAATGGAGAACCATGATCGTCAATGTTTGTCGCAGATGATAATGGTGACTTACTGAAAAAAGGAGGGAATGAACATAACTATGTATTAATTTTTTCCACCACGTAAACTATTTATCATTTCAGGGCTCTCTGTGTCTGACCTGTGCTCTCTGGTGGCCATGATGTGGATAAGCATCTGCGTGAACCCGCTGTTCTACCTCTCTGAGCTGCCCTTTGACCCCAGGAATATCATGCTCCCTACAGGAGCCATACCTCGTTACCTCTTTGTCAAAATCTCCACTTTCATCACCGCCTTTATCACCTTCGAGCGATGTTTGTGTATCGCTGTTCCTCTGAAGGTGAAGGCGATCATCACACCGGTAAGAACAAAGATAATCATTATCTCCATCTACATCACCATGTCGATTTTACTTATTCCCTTCTGCCTTGGAAACAGACTTGAGTGGGTTTTCGATTTCACGGTGAATGCTACTGTATTAAAAACTACGTACACGGCCGAGAGAGAACTGCTGGAAGCCATTACGTATCTCACCCAAGGCGTATTTACTACGACGCTTTCTTTCGTCTTCGTCATCTGCTGTACCATCGTGCTTGTCGTCAAACTCAATAGTAAAACAAAATGGCGGCAGGCTACTGCTGTCAAGGGTGACCGTGCAGCGGCAGGAGTTGGGGTCAAGGATCAAAAGGTTGTCAAAATGGTGACCTTCATTGCTGTCATTTTCATCGTCTGTTCCTTACCTTCTACGCTCCTGTTTTTCTATATGCTGTTTGACTCAGATTTCCGAGTTGATGGCGCCTATCCGAATCTCTATTCTGTCATTTGGTCTTCATCATTCCTAACAGAAACTGTCAACTCTAGCGTGAACATATTTGTGTATCTGCAAATGAGTTCGAAATACCGAGCAGTGTTTTTAAAACATTTTTGAACCAGCAGGAAAAATAGCCTTTCACCTAAAGAGGAAAATGTTTTCTCTTTAATAACTGACGAAGAAATAAAATACATATTTAAGATCAGATCAGATAATATGTTTATTGTCCTAACGCTGGCACATGTGTATGGTGTTCCACTGCTCGCACGCACGCATACACACACTAACACACACACACACACACACACACACACACACACACACACACACACACACAAACAAACACACACACACACACACAGACACACACACACACACACTCTCTCTCTCCCTCCCTCTCCCTCTCTTTCTCTCTTTCTCTCTCTCTCTCTCCCGTTCCCTCTCCTTCTCTCTCTCTCTCTCTCTCTCTCTCTCTCTCTCTCTCTCTCCCCCTCTCTCTCTCTCTCTACCACTTCTGGTCTAAGGTGTGATTTCCTTCACCAACATGCCACTTTAGCCCTGGATTCGATCTAGACAGATATGTGTAGTGGCCTACTACACTCAATCGGTTATGACCGGTTCGTAAAACTGGTCTTTGGTCAATCTCCGTTATAAGGCAAGATTTCTTGCCGTCTGATTGGGAGTATACCTCCAGGGTTGCCCTGACACCAGGTCCGAGCGGTGTCCCCTTTTTGGACGTGGTGGCGGGTGGGGACCCCTGGAGATGAACAAATGTGATAAAACCTATGGATAACAAATACCCCCCCCCCCCCCCCCCAAGAAAAACACACCCCCCAGTTCCCAGCAAGTATTTTTCAGGAGGAATGAGTGCGAATCCTGGCCAGGTTAAACGAAAAAAAAACTTAGGGGAGAAAATATGAGCGTCTGGGACCTACCTAAACGGACGACGCTAGGATGGTCATCTTACCTGGTGATCTCCTCAGCTGAACTAACAAAAAACAGTAACATTGCTAAGCGTCTTTGCCACAGGTCAAGCATTTAGAGCACGCAGCATCTCAAGACCAAAGAAAGTCTCCCCTCATGGGTCTTGTGACTTCTTTGCGGATCTTGCCAACGTGGCCGACTTCTTTTTGATACGGAAATGTAGGTCATTCGAGGGCAACCCTGTAAATGTTGAGCCTCATAGGAGTCTCAATACTTCCAGGGATGTTGTAAAGAAGCGTGACCTGGACTGCTGTACGGAAGGTGTCACCCACTCTCGTTCTGTCATAGTGTGGCAAGATGGAAAGGAAATCCACACCAACATTTGGACATTAGTTTTTGATTGTCCAAGACCTTCGACAAAACTGTCCCTTGAACACGTAGAACTCGAGGTTAAATTGTATATACCAAACCTGGTGTGTTGCTTTAATTGTCAGCACTTCGGACATAAAAAACTAAAATGCGGGCGAAATTATGTTTTCCCTCACTGTGGTAAGGAGGGTCACTCAGAGGAATCCTGCTCGTCAGTTCCCCGGTTCCCAAATTGTCAGCAAGGAGAACATTCAGCAAATTCAAAGAACTTTTCCAAATATTCACATGAAAAGACCATCTTGACCCACCGAGCAAAGTTCGCAGATACTTTTGCCCAGGCTAAGGGCGACCACATAGAGAAAGTCGTTCACTCACGCTCACGTAAGCGCACTGCCCGAGGCAATGAGATGAAAAGGATCCCCTAATGAAAACCGTTGCGTCCCACATACATAAAGCTGCCTGCTGTCATTGAGGACGCGCCAGTGAGGAGCGGCACTGACGTTTCTCGTGGAATCCAAACTACGTTCTTTCCAAGGTCGCCCAAAGCTGTCTGTGGCCTTGTTTTCACGTTACCGCTGTACCCAAGCAGTGGAACTACTTAAGCCTACAGTTTGATGTAGCAAATGATTCAAACATGGACACTGATGCGCTCATATCATCAGTGTACGTTAGAACTTCCATTTGGGACAAACGTAACAAAGTCCACATTGTGTGTATGTATTTTTTCTTGTTAGGATACGAATACAGTGATATTGAATGCAGTTCATTTAACACTAAATGACATTATGATGATAACGATGATGATGATGGTGATGATGATGACGATTATAGAACCGCGAACTTTCCACCAGCCCCATCTCTCTCTCTCTCTCTCTCTCTCTCTCTCTCTCTCTCTCTCTCCCTCACTTTCTCTCTTAACTTTTCCAGTGTGATCTAGTTATAGACTAAAGAGTTCTGGGCGAAATATGAGGTAAACATGTCTCTCATGCTTATAGCATTATTAATGGGTCTACCAGCAAGCTCCCATGTCACATCCGATCACGGGAATGACACCTTTAGTAAGATTTTGGGCAACGCCTTCCCTCTCTGTGAGGAACGCATACATTTGATGATAAACGGCCGCGTGTAACAGCGTTCTGTATGTTGGGTCAGGCAGGCCCTTTCCAAAGCTTAAATGGCTGACAGAGCGGCTGATAAAAGTACGACCTCGAGAGGCTGTCTCTGTGTGGTCGACCTGAGGCAGCCGTCTTTTCGATGGGATTAGGCCCCCTGCAGATATACGTCCCAAACTTCCGGTTCGGAATGGTAAGGAAAACCTGGCGGCAGAACCGCATACGTGAACGAAAAACTGCTAGAAAAAAGATAAACCGGGAGGCCGAAGCGGCGGTTTCAACATGGGGATTTTCTGAATACAGTTCAACGCTTTCCGTTGATGACAGCCGTTGTGTAACGTTGCGGCGCATTTCTTGTCACTGCCAATATCTTCAAAATGATTTAACGCACATAAAATCTGATTACGTATTTTAAAAGAGCGACTTAATTATAAGGCAAAATCCGAGCAGAGTTTGTGTTTTTTCAATAAGTAAAGAGAAACCAAATTCTTCCCCATAAGCAGCAGATAAACTGCAAGCAAATCGTCGTTGTCAGTACACTCGCTGTGTCTAAACCACACGTGATGTGGATGACGCACCGACTCGTCGAATGACGGTTTTGCGAGGCGGTTCAAACGACGGTTTCCAGTCTGGTTAAAACCGCCCGGCTGGAACGTACATATTTTTATTTAGTTTTTGTAAAGTTTAACGGCTCTTGCAATTGCATAAGGTCATATGAGCGCCAAGGGGGGGGGGGGGGATGTCAACAGAGAATTTCAAACGGGGAATCTGGCTAACGGCCCGTGTCCACTGCGACCCGATTCCGTCCGTCTCTCGGAAAGTCGGTAGTTGAAATGGAGCACCGTTTATTTACTAAAACATTAGGGAAAAGTCCGTTTGGCTGTGTCAACAGACACGACGCGACACAACCAGACAAAAGACGTGTCTGTTGGAAAGCCGCTTGCACAATTTTAGCCGGGTAGGGTTGTGACTCGTGAGCCATGAGCCCCGCCGGAGCTAAAATAAATTTCTAATTTTGAGTGTAGAATTAAAATTTTAATGTGATATCCGTAATCAGCGCCTCAATATTACCAAAGTCTACTAGCAAACAACCTGGTTTAAATGCATAATATTAACAATTTTACCAATTTTCCTTTAAAACCCCCATTTATTTATTATTTCTGCCTTGAGTTCATTGACCTCGACTATTTATAGCCCTGTACAGAGGACACAGCCTTGGGACACAGTGTGTGGAATAATACGGCCAGTAGGCCAACAGACTAGACGTGTCTTGTCCGAACTGGTGGACACACAAGACAGAAACGACCCGACCGATTTTCTTCCTCCCGACAAAAGATCGGGCCTTGTCCGTCTCAGTGATCCTATGGGGTTACTCTGCTCACCTCTCTAGCCTCAACAGCACAAAGTCTGCTTCGACTATGAAGGCACCCCAGAAATAGCAAATCACAAGAGAATCACAAACATACAAAAGAAGTATAGGAAAAATGGGGATAGTATAAAAGATGAGGAAAGAAAAAAGCAACATGTTTTTATCCCTCATTTGGAAATGGCCTAAATACAAGAACGTACATGTGTATGGCCCCTTAGATCCAACACAGAAGTCATACGCTGGCGCTGCCGAGGCAGGCTCCAGACCAGCTGACACCGAAACAAAGATAGGACACAAAATACGTCCACCAACAAACATGTTAATTTGAAAAAAGCCACGAAAACCAAGAGGAGGACATGGAGTCCTCCCTCAACTCATCACCTCCAAAATCTCTTTCATCTTCATTTTCATCCTCACCACCCACGTTATCTTTACCTTCATCCTCACCATAATCCTCATCTCCACCACCGTCTTCATTCTCCCACTCATTCTTATCCTCACCACTATCTTTATCTTCACAACCATCCTGATCTTCACCGCAATCTTCATCTCCACAGCCATCATCATCCTCACCACCATCCTCATCTTCACCACCATATTTATCTTCACAACCATCTTTATCTCCACAACCATCATCATCCTCACCACCATCCTCATCTTCATCACCATATTTATCTTCACAATCATCTTTATCTCCACAACCATCCTCATCCTCACCAACATCCTCATCTTCATCACCAGCTTTATGTTCACAACCATTTTTATCTTCTCAATATCTTTATCTTCACAACCACCTCATCTTCACCGCAATCTTTATCTCCACAACCATCCTCATCCTCACCCCCTTCGTCTTTCTTCCCAACGACATGTACATCTTCATCCTCAACGACCTCTTCATTGCATTCAACTTCCTCCTTTTCAGCCTCTACCCCTCTCCAGGTCACCAGTCCTCCCTCAACTGTCATTTCACAACAATAAAAATCTTTAAGCCATAAAAGCTCTAAAAATAAAAAGAAGTCAGTGAAATGCCGGTTCTTCAGTGGAAGATATTTTGTGGTTCGCGTGAAAACCAGCTCTACATTCTTTTGACCTCGGACATCGCACATGCTATCTACCTACAAACCAACAACAACAGCAACAAAATTACCAACATCCGAATTTACATTTTAAAGCTGATCAAACTTAGAACCGAGTCCACACCGACTACCAACCTGCCTCTGGGGGAAACTTCAAACATTACACAGACAAATGCACATAAATTCAAGATTTCAAGCAATTGCGGTCAGAGTTACTCTACGTTGATCAGTAACTATCTGTCCTAGTGTACATTCCTCAAGATAAACTTTTGTATTTAAAAAAAATGATCAAACCTCAGAAAACAGCTCCTTCCACCTTTCATAGTCGATTTTAATGCTCATAGCCTTCTTTTGGGAAATAAAGCAAATTATATTAAAAGTAAAATCTTAGAAGATTTCTTAAAAAAACCCAAAACCAAACAACGCCAGTATTTTAAAAGACATTTCCCCAACACTTCGACATTGAAATAAACTTCTCATGTATAGGTTTAACCCTTTGTGATCCAGATCTAATTCCAGACTTTCAATAGTCAGTCTTGTTTTGTTAAAGTGCATCTCCGAAAAGACCGAGCTGTGGGAAATTGGTGCAAAGTGCTTTTCGAAAGGACACAACGTCGGACCAAGCTGTGGTACTCTAGGAATCTTTTCGGGAAGGGAAAGATAGGCACCGTATTTAAACAAAACCCCACAAAATGATGAAACTGGAGGTGTGGTAATGAATTATGATAACGATAATGGGAATTTATAAAGCCTAATTCTAAGATGGCTTTAAGCTCTTCACAGTGTAGAATTATTATTCAATACAATTGTTAACGAATTAAAAGACAGAAAATGTTCAATGTGAATCTGAGACCCTTATAAAAATCCCTTAACACACACCGACCATCAATGATATATTTATAGAGGCACCAGCCATCCATGCCCAGGTGCTGTTTTGCCTTCTCAACTCTCTCTCTCTCTCTCTCTCTCACACACACACACACACACACACACACACACACACACACACACACACACACGCTTGAGTGTCCGTGAAAACTGACACATCATTTTTTTTGGTACCTGTGATCAACATTCCTGCATGTGGTTGAATGATGCATTTGATGTAAATGTACATTTTGTCAGCTTTACTTCTCCTTTCATATTGCATTTTAATGAGAGTAATATATATGATTAAAAATTTTTAATGTATACCTGCATGTGTTTTTATGGTCCTGTACAGCCAAGGAAAATTTCCCTCTGGGATAATAAAGTACTATCTTATCTTATCTTATCTTATTATTCAGTGAATTCCAAACAGAAATATGATTTTAATGGGTATCAAAGGCGGTGGGGGAAAAGATAAAGAAATATAAAACAATTGTCTACTTACTTTTACTTTTTCATCCTCTGTTGCCGTTAAGTGTCGAGGGGAGATGCAGTTTCCTATGGTAGGCCAGCTCTGCAGCTCTTTCAGTTGTGATGTTGTGTTTTCTTAGGGTTTCCTTGACACCCTCAATCTATCTTTTTCGTGGCCTTCCTCTTCCTTTATAGCCTGAATGTTTGGTGTTGTAGGCTCTCGAGGCTGTCTGGTCAGGTGACGTGCGTAACAGGTGGCCAAACTATTTTATTTTGTCTTTCTATGTAATGCAGGCAGTGCTGATATCTGCTCTTACTTCTTCATTTCTCTGCCTGTCTCGTCTTGTGCTGTTAAGGGTTTTGCGGAGACATTTAATTTCGTATGCGGTGATTTTGCTTTCATGGGTTTTGCTTAAGGTCCAGGTCTGGCACTGTTTACATAATGTTGGTATGAATATTGAGGTTATAAGCTGTTTCTTTGTGTTCATGGAGATGTTTGGATGAGATAGGAGGGGTGCGAGCTGGTAGGTGACAGCGTTGGCTTTTTGAGTTCGCATTTCTATTTCTCTGTCTATGGACCCGTTTTCAGAAAACATGCTGCCAAGATATCTAAACTCCTTCACCTGTTTCAGTTGTTTACTATTGACATGGATGTTCAGGGACTATGGTTTCGGTTCACTTTCATAACTTCTGTTTTTGATGTGCTTATTTTCATGTTGAATTTCTCACACGTGTTGTTGAGTTCGGTAGTGTGGTTTTGGAGGCTTTGTTGGTCATGATGAATAAGACATTTGTCGTCTGCGGACAGAAATTCATTTTTGGGCTTTGGTTTGCTTCTTGCGTTATTGTGTCCATATATATTATAAACAGGAGGGGAGACAGAACGCATCCCAGTTGTACAGTTGTCTAACCAACGGAAAATGTCAATTTTCTTTTATTTCAATGTGTTGACGAGATCCCCAATTAACCACTGTGACTCACATAATTTAGAATTTCTTTGGTGTGTGTGCAATGTGAACAGTGAAGGGAAAGAATGCGCATGGAACATGAATAAAGGGTGGGCAAAATAGGAAAAGGACAAACCAGAGAATACTCGAAAATAGACACGTTTCGGAAGACGGACACGCTACGGAGACCTTTATATTACATGATTATGACACTACTGAGTTGTAGAGATCTAGAGCAGAGCCAAACAGTATGGCCCTTTTTCAGACATACCACCAGAGTCGTAATTTTAAGTAAGGTACCGCTATTTCGTCCAAAGAGAGAGGACAAGGTCCTCTTTGAAAAAATAACTGGTTACTCTGCAGTAAGAGAGGATGCAAATGAGTTAAGCAAATTTTACTTTTATTTGTGATACTTAAACAGAAGCTTGTTTTTTGTGACTCTATACTGAAACACTTTGAAACATCTAAAACGTATATGAGGGTACTTTTTGTCGATTTTTTCCTCAGCATTTAATATTATTCAACAACATATTATTGTCATGAAAAACTTCTGAGTCTAAGAGTTAGTCATTTTATCGCAGCATGGGTCCTGAAATTTTTTACATGAAGACCACAATAATATTATGTTAAGCTGAACAGCAAAAAATCTTACACAAACGTTTGTAACACCGGCGATCCTCAAGGGTGCGTTTTGTCACAGGTTTTGTATACAATAATATGCCAACGATCATAGACGTAAGGATGAAACAGCACGCTTGAATAAGTTCAGTTATGACTCCACTATTATTGGATTAGTAAATTTAGATGGAAAAGAGTATCTCGAAGAAATATATATCGCTAGACGCGTGATTCAAGCGCCTAAGTTCCTATGAATCTGACATGCAGATATAAATGTAGATAATAATATTTCTGCCATATCATGTAAGACGATGGTCTGTAACCGGCTGAAAAAAAAAATGCTTTCTTACATAAATTACTAGACATAGGCGGTTTTGACGGCCAAAATCTGCGTGATTCAACAGCCTTACTGGCAGTATGACGGCGTCTAGGTGTTTGAATCACGTTATCCAACGCCATTCGGCGAGCGCCGATGGTCGTTTATGAGTCTGAGTTATCGACAGAAGCATAATCATAATCGTTTTAGGAGGAATTATCAAGTATTCCATTCTCTTTTCAATTATTTCTGCCCAAACAGAATTTTAAGAAAATTAAGCGTGTAGTAATTTAAGTAAGAAAGATAGTTAAAGTGTATTCCTTGAAAACAGAAAGTACATGCATGTAATGTGAAATTTATGTATATCCTTCCTAACCTTCACTGTCTTTTAAAAGTTAAGATGTTAATGTTTAAAACCACGAAAATAAATTATAAAGACATTCTTTCATGAAATTTTGTGCAACAATTTTTATCTTAAAGGTATTCAATAAGGTTTTACAGGTTAGGGCAGTCATTAGGCTTCCACATTAAAAATTCACGACACACCTTCATACCACCTCATTCTATTCTTGTTCTTATTTTTACACTCAAAATTCCCCCTGACCCGTTCAAAAACTGACTGTAGAAGTAGGAACTGCCCTGGTATACTTTACAAACAAGAAAGAAAATGTGAACGTTCCTGATGTTAATGTAATACATTTTCTTGGTTTATTGACTCCTTGTGTCTGAGATTACAATGGAATAATCACGCTCCTGAGTTTCTGTAGATGTTTATATTAAAATTGATTGCTGAATTTTACGGAGATCCAAACACATTGTGGTTGAGTCTTCTGGGGCAGGACTGTTTTTGGCCTCATGGAGTTGGTAAAAAAGACCATTCATCTTAACGTTCAACTTGTACTGGATGTTTTTGTTCAATATGTATTAAAGGCAACGAACGTTTGTGACAACTGGGTCGCCTTTGTTTCAGTCAGGTCTGAATGGTCAAGAAATCAAACATCATTGGGTTGGCAGGGGGGGGAGGGAGTACACTGTCTTGCTTTCTTAAAAGCTTTCAAGATTTTCCATGAGCACGTAGACCAGACCTTTTTTCAGGGATTTTTCGATTACACAGTGTGTGCTGTCCACTTCCATTTGAGTTTGTTCTTTTTCAAGGTAACTGTGTTCAACATTTTGTCCTATCTGGTACAAATGCCACTGATTGCATCTGACAAGATAGCGTTGTGGTCTGGTAGGTACAGCTATCACTGCATATAGTGAACATTGCATATGTGAGGCAGCGTGGTGGAATCAGGGTCTCGTCAATTTTTGGGCAAGTAGATTTATTGGTATCATCGTAAAGTTTGTTCAAATGTCTTTATTTGGATGAAAAAAATATCCATTTATCTTGAATGCAAGTCGAGATATTTGCAAATGAAGGAGGTGTGGGTCACCTGTTTTCAGAGGTAAAATTAGTGAGAAAATGGCTACCAAAGACTACTTATTTCCTTAGCTTTAGAGTCCGTGGTAACTGGAAATTTTCATTTTTTAAATGCTTTTAATCAACGTTTTTCAGAAAAATCCACACATATATGAGTTCTTTAATGGGCATGAACGGTGTTGTGTCAAAAAAAAAATTTGATGAAAATTCACAAGACTGTGGAAAAATGCAAGTTTCTTCACTTTGATTA